CTAAGTGGGACTAGAACTTGGTTTTAGATCCCTTTGGTTTGTAGAACTGGGCAGTACTATAATTCTATATGATAGAAAGATAATATTCCTTTAAAAAGTTGCTTCTCTGGTTCCTTTTAAATATTTTGCAGACTATACAGATTTTACGTATGTGCAATTTTCCATATTGTGTCTGGTGGTGAAATAAATTATTCTGGACTCACTTTGATAGATGGGGAATACACACCCTTTCCAAGAATCCTCATAGATACTCTAGAATTCATGTTTAGTACCATTTTGGTCTTGATCTTGCTGGAAATTCTGAGATTTCATATAAAATGAACACGACAAGTCACTGAGTGGCATAGCAGTGTCAGGTCTGCCATAGCTCTTTGGCCCTTGTTCTATAGACAAAGGGGCCAGAAACTTAAGGAAGCTGGGTATAGCACAGAGAACAGAAGTTCATCCGCACAACCATTCCTCCTAACTATAACATAAAATGATTGATTGACTAATAATGGAAGCTCTAAGTTTTTGGTTTTTTAATTTAAAGAAGTACATATCAATGGCTGGAAATGTAGCTTAGTTGATAGAGTGCTTGGCTATTCTGCATGAGGCCCTGGGTTTTATCCTCAGCATTCCCACCTCCACCTCCAAAAAAACATAAATAAGTATGTATCACACATTGATAGGATGGATGCTCAACATTGTGCTGTGGGATTTGAACCATTTAAAGATTAGGTCTTCTTAAAGTTCTTGTGTGGTTTAGAATCCATGTTTTAGTAACTTGTCAGTTAATGAACTACTTGGAAGGTTTATTTTTAGCCTTTTATACACATCATTTTTTTTAGGTTTTGTGAATAATTATTATTGACTGTGTTCATTAATTTGTTTGACTTCTTTTATCACCTTCCTATACTTTGATGCTATTTTTTTGACTACAAATGTATGTAAACCATATTTCTTGTTCTCGAGGAGGACATGGCCTTTTGGGGAAATAAGTAAACAACCAACCTACCATGAGTGACATTAAAGGCTGGCGTATGGCTTTAGTTACCAAGTTGAGCATCTCAGTGTAGGGATGTAACCTTGAAGTTCTCTCTATGGAGGAGCCTGACCAGATACTTCAGGAATAAGCAGGAATTTGGCAACAGATGATGTGGAAAGAGCATTCTAGGAATAGGGGTTAGCAAATGCAATTAATGGAAATATGGAAGGGTGTAACTTGTTTACCTTGTATGTGGTGGAGTTGCAGAATTAAAGTGAACTTGCTGGAGCAGAAATTCATTTGTTTTACAGTGTTTTCAGATTTTGTACCTTTGAATTATGATAAAGTATACCTAATATAAAATTTACTAGCATAACCATTTTGAGTGGACAGTTTTTTGGTGGTAACTACATTCACATTGCTGTACAATAGTCACCACTATGCATATCCAGAACTTTCAAAACTAAAGCTCTGTACCCATTAAATACTAGTTCCCATTATCTTCTCCCCTCAGTATCTGGAAGCCATTATGGTACTATCTTTCTTTGTGAATTTGATAACTTTAGATTCCTCATAAAAATAAAATCACAAAAATATTTGTCTTTTTTGCAACTGTCTGGCTTTCCTTAGCCTAATGTCTTCAAATTCATCCATACCATTATGTGCAGAATTCCCTTGCTTTTTAATGCTCAAAATATTCCATTATATACATAAAGCACATTTTGTGTGTCCATTCATCCATTGAGGAAATGGATTGCTTCCACCTTTTGGCTATGTGAATAATGCTGTTATAAGCATGTCTGTACTCAAATTTTGTAATTTATTATGTAAGTTATTAAACTTTCAGTAAGTACAAAAGGAGTTCTTGCAAATCCTTATAATATAGTCCCTTTGATTGAGGCACTTGTAGTTTTGTTGTAGAGATGTACTCACACTCATGAAACTGAACCTACAGAGTATGGTGAAAATGCCCAGTGGCATTGTCAGAGTTTACTTTTAAATTTGCTGTGATTGTTTCACAGGCCACTCTAGGAAGTTAGTGAACAGTGTAAGGCAAGAACTTTGCAGAGCAAGGGTGTGACAATTTACCTTTGTAAACTGATTCCTTTCTCTTTGGTGAAGTTGCCTGTGAGCACCTTGACTCCTTAGCAGACCTTGGCTCATATCTATGAGCATTGTGGAGCCAGTGGAAAGGAGATAGGCTAAGTGAACACTACAGTTAAGAATGGGGGATCTGCTGTGAGAAAGTGTATCACTAGCCAAATGACTTGTAGCCAGGATGACTGAGGAACCAAAGTTCCTGTGAAAAAATGCATTTTGATTAAAAATCAGCCATTGTTAAACAGGAAGATGCACATTATTGCAAAAAGAGCTCTCTCTCTGTGTGTGTGTGTGTGTGTGTGTTGTGTGTGTGTGAGAGAGACAGAGACAGATCAGAGAGAAAGAATGAGAGAGACAGAGACAGAGAGACAAGCACCTGATAGTCCAACCCTTGCCAGGGCTCTAAGAAAGTAGTCCTGTGACAGTTTTTTGCACTGTAGCTTCAAGCTCAGGGCAGGGTTATTCCCAACGTTAGATGCCTATCTCAGCTGTTTCATCTCCTCTACTGTTATAGACCTCCTGCTTCCCATTCTTAGATACCCAGAGACTAGGACTGAGACATGTAGGTTTAGGAGGCAGTTCTGGGAATTAGAAGATGCTGAGAAACTAGGCTGCTGGTCTGGAAGCAGTTCTCCATCTTATAGCTAGAGTTCTTGCTCATGTCACTTGTTGAGTGTTTACTCCTGGCTCCTGTTGCCTGCTCTGCCTAGACTCCCCTTCCTGGGCTTTACTGATTGGCACAGCACACTAAGTTCCAGGGTCCCTATTCTAATACAAAGTCCTGAGGCTCTGTTTATGAACACCAAACTCTTTCCCTCCATCTTTCCAGCCTGCAGTTGGTGTTCCAGAACTTTGTATTGTTTTTCATGTAGGGTTTTATCTGCACTTGCTGGTGGAACTCCAGCCAGCAAAGCAAGTATATCAGAACAGTCTGGCCACAGTGGGTGGAGGGCCAGGCGTGTTGGCATGTACTCCAGGGCTGGCATGGGTCTAAGGGAGGCTGACTTGAGCCACAGACAGTGGCACCAGCAGTTCTGTTTGTTCTTCAGCCCCTGGCAAAGCCTGAGCAGATTGGTTTCCTGTGTCAAGGAACACAGATGCTTCCTCCTAAGCCGTCCTGCCCAGGCAGTGCTCCAGCCCAGAGCAACAGTCTGGGAAAAAGGATTTGTCCCTGAGAGCCCCTTGTCTTCTCTATTCTTCTGGTTACTTCATTGCCACCCCTCTAAGTCCATTTTTCCCCCAATGAGCATGATAACATTATTGTCTAAGTAATCACCATATAAACAAATGGCTTAATGATAAATATTTAAGCATTTTCAGACACTTGATTTTCTTTCATGTCCAAAGTTTCCAACAGAAGTGCAATTTAATTCTAATTCTGCAGTTGGATAGGGTTTGGGGACGTTAGGAGGTAGGTGGAATAGATGCAGACATGACCAACCTAAGAGCCCTTGTCAACGGCAAGCAGGTACTGCTGGCAGCTGTGATGGGACCTAGAAGCTTGTTTCCTGCTTCTCTTGCCCCTTTTCATTTTGAAACAATCCAGAGTATTCCACCAGCTGTTGTATGAAGCACCTATGTTTTCACTGTCATTGAGATTCTGGGAGGAAATTGGGTCAAGCTTTTCTGTGTAGTCACTATGCCTACAGACTCTGTAAGAGTTACCTGAGAATATGTGCATGGTGATGGGGCTTCAGAGAGAATGTTTAGTTGCATTTTGAGTTCTTACGATGAAGGTATTAAAAAGCACGGTCAAGGTTGTCAAACCACTAACTGTAGAAATAGTTAAGGTTCAGAAACACAAGAACGTGGATGGGCACCTCTTTCCTGTCTTGGGTGAGGAATCTTGATATAAAGGTCCAGGAGGAAGTGGAACAACAGGGAAGTGGACTAAACAAGGAAGATATGTATGGTCAACTACAAGATTTTTCTGGAAATCTGAGACATTTGGCTTAGCAGACAATTGGTTCTCTGAAACTAGGGCTGGGGAGAATGACGTAGTGCTTGCAGAACTAAGTACTTGATATTTGTGCTTTGATTTCATAACTATAAAAGGGAAAGGAGGAGGTTGGAGTATGTGAAAGTGACATACTGCAAGAGACCAAGGATGAGAATTGACCTGTTGATGGCAGGTTTTGTCCTCTGGGTGTTTCCAGACTCTTATGCCCTTAACTCCCGCTGGAGCTCATTGGAGTACTGCCTTCTGCATGCCTGTGACTGCAGGAGCAGCCCTGACTTTAAAGACTTGTTTAGAAGGAGGTGTGGCTGGAAGGTAGTGTTTATTAAAGTTCAAGTGAGCAGAGGTAAATGAAGATGTGGTTGGGAGTGGTGGCTGGTTCACCTCTCCCAGCAGGCACAAGGCCAAAGTCAGCTGATTCACAGATTGCCATGCTGGTTCTCCCACCCAGAGGTCATTTCAGTTCATCCATACTGCAGTATAGCAGAATGCTGCAGTCAGGATATGCACTGTGAGGTGCAGTCATGTCCCCAGTGCTTGCTAATCAGAACCAACTCCAGCCTCTAATGTTTGTAGCTGCTGGCCTAAAGGGGACTGTGGCTGAAGTCCTGTCCCAAGCCAGACTCCAGAACAAAAACTGTCCTCCCCATCCTGCCACACATGCCTCTCTTCATTACTCACTACTAAGGTTCTAGGCTGAAGCCCTCTGTCTCCCATGAGTTCGCTGTGCTGATTTGTCCTTTTTCCAGGCCCCTTGGTGAAAGAGAGAACTGTTGACAGGGTAGAGTGATGCAGGATGGAAGAAGTAACCATCAGATATCCACCTGCTTTTACATCCTTCGAGGTGCTTCCTATGCCCATGCCCAGAAACCGTACCAGTTCTCTAGACCTGTCTATGGCCCTCTTTGCCAGGTTGTGAGCTAGTGGGCACCCTGCAGATGCACTGGTCTAATCAGATTCTTTTTTCATTTGCAGTATGAGTTTAAAGCCAAGAACATCAAGAAGAAGAAAGTGAGCATTATGGTTTCAGTGGATGGAGTGAAAGTGATTCTAAAGAAAAAGAAAAAGGTAAGTGGCTCTGAAGCAGAAATTGTGGTGAAGAGGGAATCAGGGAAGGTAGGCATGGTATACCTTTTCCTTCTAGAGCATTCTCTGGCAGAATTGCCTTATCTGGTGAGGTCTTCTGTTTGAGGAGCAATAATGTTGATAGGCTGCAGCTGGAGCAGAGAGTGAGGCAGGGACAAGTGGCTTAGTGGGATGATTGCTCAGTCATTCCTAGTGTCCCACAGGTAATGGGTTATCTCCCATGACCCTTATGTTCAAAACCTCTTCAACATTTTGGCACCTTTACCGGTGGGTAGGTTGTGTGTGTGTGTGTGTGTGTGTGGTGTGTGGTGTGTGTGGTTGGTGTGTGTGTGGTGTGTGTGTGTGTGTGTGTGTGTGTTTTGAGACAGGGTATCACTGTGTAACCCAGGCTGTCCTTGAACTTACTATGTAGCCCAGACTGACCTTGAAGCTCATGATCTTCTACCTCTGCTTCTTGAGTGCTTGGATTCTAGGCATGTGCCATCACACTTAGCTTACTTTTCAGTCTTCTTGGTAGGAAATTCTTCTAACTTAAGCAATATATGTTGAACACCCCTAATCTGAAATCCAAAATACTCCAAAAGTTGAAACTTTTTGAGTGTCATACCAGGGCTCAAAAGTTTCTGGTTTTAGTGAATTTTAGATTTTCAAATATAGAGATGTTTACTTGGTAAAGTCTATGCAAATATTCCCAGACCAAAAAAATCTCTGAAATTTGAAAATACTTCTGGTTTGAGGCATGATAGATAAGGGATACTCAACCTGTAATAGAATTCCATGGAGGAGTAGATAAGAAGAGGTTCCCTCAGCAGTTGCCTGACCCTTCTGTCTAGAGCAACCCTCAGTCCCACTCCCAAATGCCTTGCAGCCCCCATGTGTGTCCTTCTGTTACAGGTGCTGCAGCTTGGGGATATGTTTCTTGCATCCTCTTCTTTCCCTTCACATATGTACTCATAGTGGGTAGCCATGGGACAATCCTGAGAATTTCTGAACAGGAGAGTCTAGGAAGCAAGCTGATGCCTGCTAAGTCCCCCCGGGCTTGAAATTATGAATGATGACAATATGAACTTGAGCAATTTTCAATCCAAGCTCATGATTCAGGGAACCTGGCCATGGTCACATGTGTCAGATTGTGTTACTCTGCCCTGCACATAAGGAAACTGGTGGTTTAGCACTCTCCTGTAGCAACTGATAGCATAATTGCCATTTGTGAGCACTTTTCAGGTGACAATATTATTTCAAACCCATTGTCACCCATCTCATCAGTCTTTATGGATGTTTCTCTTGGCCAGTGATTTGCTCTCTGACCTGTTTCCTCCCTTGCCAAGGGCTCAGCAGTTAGCTTTGCATCATGAAACCCAGACTCATCAGTTTCGAAGTTGTAAACCTTAGGATGTCACCTCACATTGGCAAAGCTCAAAAAGAGGCTGATGTATAAGCTGAACTAATAGGTCTTTTATTCACTTTGAGACATAGAACAGTCTCTTGGACCAGACTCTCATTAGCCTGACAGGCACATTCCCTTTTGATTGGAGGCAAATTATTGGCAAGGCAAACTATTACAGGGTACCTAGGTGGGCCCAGAAGTGGGACAAGTTGGCTAATTATATGATAGAAATGTTTCCCAACAACATATGGGTTCACTGGTCATACTGACCTTGTTGAGTGTTGCTATTCCTTGGGTCTGTTCAACATTCCCTCCTGGGGTTTTCCTCTATGACCCTCTGACTCCTATACTTTCATGGCTGACACTCCCAGAATCTCCCTACCACAACAGTACATGTAGACTTCTAACTAATGTGATCTTTGCTTACTTTCAGTTAGGTTGCATTTCAAGGCCTGCTGTCCTGAGAGCTATTCTGTCCCTATGGAATGACTTTGTGGTTTTGCCCTTAAAGGACACTTTATTTCCCATCTCCCTCATGTATCATGTACCATATGTGATAGTACCTCATTCTGCAAGTGGGACATGAAGCAGTATGCTGGGGAATCACCTGGGAGAGAACTCCCCTCCTGCCTCTCCACCTCCAGCTGTTACCTAAGTACACCAAGGCTAAGCTGGAGCAGCATGTCTCCAAGGGAATCCTGGCAATCTTATGACTCACTTTGAAGTTCCATGCTTGGTCATCTCTAGTGTTTGCCATCCTGCTGGCCCAGGAAGTAGGGGATCTGGCAGGTCTGTCCTGCATCTGGTAGGACATGCCAAGTTGGGAAAGAGGAGCTCCCTTCTTGTTTCCTCCACCCACGCCTGGTGTCCATTTCAGGACCATGGCTGTGATTTGGATAATGCCTTTAATTGCAGTGTGCTGACAGATGCATGCACATTAATAGCAATCAGCCTTTTTGCCCTCTCCTCCTGAAAATAGCATAGTGATCTTCGCTAGGTCAGTGTGACATGCTGGAAGGAGCCTTTGGCTGAGAAGACCTGAGTTCTGGTCCTGGCTCCACCCCTTCTGGCTGTGTGCTCTGAACAATTTATTTTGCCTCTATGAACTTCCAACTATAGAATGAAGAACTGGATTGGAATGATCACTTCAACTTTCCCAGTTTGAGTAGTCTGCCCCAGTTTTGGAACTGTGCTCCTTAAAGCTTATGAATCAGTGCAGACCAGCTGTATGTGTTCAGGTCTTTGAGAACCCACTGAACGGCAGGTAAAGCAGACCCCAGAAGCTAAGCAGGTCACTTGTTTTGCCTTCCAATCTTCTAGGCCAGGAGGGAACCCTTTGAGGTCACATACCTCCCCATGCCACCACCAGGCCTCTTTTCTCTCCTCAGACTATCCATCACTGGCCAATGGTGCTGCACTTCTTGGCTGAGGAGAGAGGTGTGTTTCCAGGGACCTGTCCATAGCAAATTTATTAATGTCAGGGTCATCTATGTAAGCCCAGCACTTTTCTAGATACCTAGTACACACAGAATGTTCTCAACAATTGTGGCTGTTGGCTAACTGGATGAATGAATATTTCTTATGTGTGGTAGTGTCATTAAATCAGACAGAAATAAGTACTTAACAGTTGGATATAGTGACTTCTAATGTGTTACTTTTGATTATCATATTCTCTTCCCTATTTCTGTCAACATTTCAGTTTAAAAAAACAAAAAACAGGGTTAGAGCCTTTGCAAAACACAGAAAGGCTTCAATAGAAATTCCCAAGTTCATAGTGGTGGGACTTGGTCAGGTGACTGTGATCTTCAGGTGCATTACCCTAGTGCAGACAGTAGCCAAATATGTTACAATTGTCCCATTGAGAGTACAATACAACCTTTCTGGTTATATTAACAAGTATGTAAAAATGCTCTCTTCTTGAACTTATGCCAGAGGATAATGAATCACAAATTCCTTCCAAATCTTAGGCTGAATTTGTAGTGGGAAGCCAGTTACTAAGATAATTAGTTTTGCTTTGATGCCTCTCAATCAGAACATTTTCTTCAACTCTCAACTAGGCCCAAGTAGTTATCCTTTCTATGAATAATAATTACTTATTATGATTCTGGTATCACACTATGGCACCATTTGCTAAGGAGTGGAATCCTGACTAAGAAATATTAATCTTGAACTCTATCCAAGAGATTTTTCTATGAAAGGGCTTCAGTTTCATGTGGTTTCTCTTACAAAGCAGTCACTTCCTTTGGGTCTCCTAAGGTGACATTCTACAAAGGTGCCATCATTCTCATTAACAAATATTGTTTTTCCCATGTTCTAGGAACTCTGTAGGACACATAAAGATATTAGCTATGGAACTTTTTTGAGTTAGGTTCTTACTATATAGCCCAGGGTAGCTTCAAATTTGTGATCCTCCTGACTCAGCCTCCTGAGTGCTAGGAATAAAGGCATGTGCCACAATGGCCTGGCTAAAATTAACTATTTCTGATGGCATTACATGTATACATAGATCTGTTGCAATACTTAGAAAATTGCATTAGAATTTTATTTCTTTTTTGGTGCTGAAGATTGAACCCAGAGCCTCATTCATGCTGAGCCCATTATGCACCACTAAGCTATGTGCTCAGCCTTACATTATAGAGGTATTTATCTCCTTCCCCCAACAGGTTATGAGCCTGTAGGGGGCAGGAAGCATGTTTTAGCTAAAAAAAAAATTTTCCCCTGGATTTTTGAGACAGGATCTCATTATGTATTCCAGACTGGCCTCAAACTTGGGAATTTCCTGTCTCAGCCTGCCTGGGATTACAGACATGTAGCACTATGCCCGACACTCTAAAATCTTACTTTATCTATTTGGGAAGGTAGGAGAGAGCGAACAAACCAATAGCAGTAATTACTTACTTAGATGATAATGAGAGCAGCTACTAATAATCCCTAACCGTGATTATTGATCATCAATTTTTTTTCTAGCCTTGTTTTATGGACTTTACACTTACTAAATCTTTGCACATTCCTTGAAGTATATATCATTCTAACGCTCATTTTGCTAAAGAAGATTGGACAGTTTACCCAAGATCTAAAGTCACATTAATGGTGATGAATGGTGGTGTCAAGTTTCAAACCAGCTCTGTGTTGCTCAGATCCCAGATAGGTTCTTTCTACTACCATGTTGCTTGTGTGTGTGTATGTATGTGTATGTGTGTGTATGCATTAATTTTTAATATTCCTTAAGATAAATGCTACCCTGTAGAAAATGCCTAATAAATAGATCCAGAGTCTTTAAGTTCAGCCTATACTTTGACATAGGTATATCATGTCACAAGGAAATGCTTTTCCTGCTTGAGCAGTAGTTTGTTACTATGGAAACATTGAACTCTGCTCTGACTGAGTAAGAAAAGTAGGCACTAAGAATTAGAGAACCAGAATTTAGAAGAAGGTAGTTCAGAAATGATCTAGTCTGATCCCTGAGTTGATTAGCTATGGCAACAGAGGATGAAATATGTTCTATGACTGCACCTAGGTCATCCAGGTAGTTACTGACAGGGCCAGAACATGAATCTGTTGCCTAAACTTAGTACAATGTTCCTTTCACGAAGTG